ATCCAGTAATTTTTGGTGTGTTAAAGAGCATGGAACTGTACAGCGACTTGATAGGGAAAGGCGCCGTCAACAGCACAGTTGAGGATTACACTTAAACAGACACGATAACACGGCCAACTCCGCCCTATACGATCATTGCGGAACGGGCTCTTAAGGTCAGCATTGTAATGATTAGCCTGATTCTCTTTCCTCTGAACCGAATTTTCGCTCGCTCCCCCCCCTCCCCACCTACCTTTTTTTTACACAGTAACGCATCCGAATGTCTATCAAGAAAACTTCAGGCATAAAACCCAAGCGATTCTGAACTAAAGACGGATGCATGGCTCAGCATAACTGTGAGCATTTTCAGACCATTTTGGTTGAATGTCTACGGAAGCTTTCTTCACCGGAAAAGTAAATTTCTGTGCTATGGAAATCATGCTATGCATAATATTCAATTGAACTATTTGTCGCAGTTTCTCAGAAAATACAAAGGTCAGTACAGTATCACTTCTTAAAGCATAGTCCACACTGGATAGGAGCGTAGAGACATTTTCAGTGTTGTTGATGGACGGCTCCCTCGAGTTTCTTTCACCAGTGACAATCTCCATCCCCTATCCAGCGTGGACTGAGACTTTTTCTAGAAGTTGATTTTACATTTCAGATTCACCTAAATTCGCTCTGAATTGGCACACTGAACTTGGTCACGATTATATGAATCAGGTCAATGTTGCCGATGACGATTTCGCCGAATTTCTCAAAGGACACTTTGATCTGCTCCAGGTAGTATTTTAGTTGGGCGCAGCTGCGACGGGGATGGGGGGGGGGGGGGGCATTTTGCACTTTCGTTGCTTCACTAGTTCCGGTTTACAAGTCTCACTCTGGTGAAACCTGTGAACTCTTGTGAAGCTGGAGCAAGCTCGTCAAGCCATCATGGTAAAACCTGTTAACTCGAGAAGAGGATACAAAAGTACAAGATGCCCTCCCGTCGACGAACTGCGCTTTTTAGTTAAACTCTTTTCACCATCATATTTCACCAGAAATATGCCATATCGAGTAGGGTATTCATCGGTTGGTGTCAACCCTCTCCCCTATACTTCCCAAGCTCCGAACTAGCTCAATCCCAACCCCCAGATCCAAACCACTCTCAAATTCGCAAGGGATTCCCGGGTCCAAACCACCTCAATATCCACTGCCCAGCAGTTCGGGCCCACACCACCCTCAACCCACGATCTCACCTTATGGTTCCTCAGGCCAATGCCACCCCAATCCCCAATACACCTATGTATGTCCGCTCTCATGTCGCCCACACCACCTCAATTCCCAACTCCCCAAGGGTTTATCAACTCCAAATGACCCCAGTACCCAGAAAGTCGGAAAATCCTCCTTACCGCAAGTCCTCGAACGCCTCAGAAAAACAATTTTTGACAGGTTCAGGTGTGGGTACGGGAAGTCCTGCCAAAACAGCCCACTCGGCTATATTCTGTAAAATGACCTCCCACTTTCGGGTGAGGAATCCTGACACCGCGCTTATCCACTTTTCTTGGACTTTTCTCGAAATCCAGCGGCAAGACTCTCATTGGTTCGCTACTGCTCCGAAGAGTAATGTCACCGTATCTCTGAAGCTTTAGACTTACCATTAGACTTAGGACGACTCACGCCAGCTTTTGCGGAGGAAGGCACGCATTCTATTGTGCTTCGTTCAGAATCGTTACCCCCCCCCACGTTGGCTCACTGGGTGAAGGATAGCCTATACAATACCCCGAGGATAGATAGCCGTTGTACGAGTCAGTGCTCCTATCTTCCCAGATGAATCTGGTACCTGTTGAAGGTATTAATGCCTGGCTAGCCTGAGGCGCGAGTCGACCGGGACTGATACCCGACGGTGTTGTTGGGGAAGTGCCTCATTCCTAGCTACGGCACCTTCAACCTTATTATGGCGCGATTTTTTACAATCTAATTATTCAGCGCACTCCTTTCTTATTCGTGGTGGGCGATCATGGTCACCGCTTTGATTCGATTCGCCGAACTACCATAGGACGGATCGAGGAGCGTTTTCCCTTCTTTTCCATGCACATACCAGACGATCTTCAAAGGAAATTTCCACGACTCAACAAAACAGTGGAAGAGAACACCCAAGTAAGATTCATTCAGGAAATACCATATGATTCAATCCTCACAATACTAAAAGCGCACGCTGTGCTCGCTGCATGTCTTTGGCATGAGAATTATGACGGGCGCCTTCGAAATCGTCAATTTACAGTTTTCGGTTTCCGGTCGATGTCTATTTCCGAGTTCCGATCTGTGTCTATTTCTTGACATCGAGATTTATAGCAAAAATTTTCAAAACTGTCAAACTACAATGTGCATGAAATTCGCAGCGTAATAAGCTGAGAGACTTCAAAAACAGTTTTTGTTGGGCTTGGTGGGGGCTCCAAATGGTACTCAGGGAAGCTTGCACCGGCCGCTTTGTAACGACGTGTAAGTTCCTGTAAACAAAGTGGCTCACTCGCACATATTTGCAGCTACACAAGAGTTTACAGGTTAGTTAGCAGATACTGGCAGTCGAAGTAGCAAGAAGCAAAATCCCATCCCCCCTCCCCCTCCCTAAACTGAACAGCGCCCAATTTTGGTACCAACTTCCGCTTCCTACACTCTAGAACATAATCGACTTTTTATGTAGACCTCATTCTGACATTTCGGCAATGCATTCATAGTTCGCGACTCCGATGCACTTCGCAAACTCGGCGACGTGGATTAAATACGTATTGATCTAAGCGATGAGCAATCGCTCGGACCGCTTCTATGGCGCGATCGCAGGTGCCACCTTCTATGAGCGCAGTCTTAGAGGCGCTGTTTTTTGCATTGCGCTTGGAATTGGGCTATCCACCTCATAAGGTAAACTTATTAGTCGCTAAAAATTAAGGTGCTGACGTCATTCTGGGACTTTTACGCGACAATGCAAGACATTCGGCAACTCGGTCAATCTAATAAATGGGAACATCTCTATGGAAATAGAACTGGTTCCCGTGCAAACGTTTTCAAGAAAGGATTAAGCCTACTTCGACCAATAACGGTATGTTTGGAGCTCAGAAACATTTTCCATTTTTTTAACATTTAAAAACTACAGCGGAAAAAATGAACTGAAGACTTCTAATTTGAATCCTAAGTGAAAATTTGACTTAGTAAAGAAATTGAACAGCAAAAAAAGTAATAGAAGGAATGCGGTTTGTTCTGTTCTCTGCGAATAAAGGGGCGTGTCAGTAAGGCTGCACTTGGTGTCCCCCCCCCGGAGTTCCTTCTCCACCAGTTGGTAAAGCAGGCAAGCGGAACCATATGGTGGAAAACAACTAGTACGAATAATATGACACCGTTTTCCCGCCTCCGAAAGAATGAAAGAAAAGAAACGGGCAGGCGCCGCGCCAAATCCATCTCTCCTCGACACTTCCCACCATCCACAACATACAGTGACTGTATATAAATGCCCTTTATGCTCGCCGTTTTCTCCCCGTCAAATAGGAGAACATGATGAGGTCGAAGAGGAGCCGCGGACCCCGTCGAAGCGAGATTTACACAGGGGAGAAAAAGAAAAAGTCCGGCTACATTCCTTAAGAAGTTTTTCAGGACCGAAACTGCAGAGAAGCTGGTATTCCGGACGAGTTATGCATGTGCCGTAATGAAGTCATTGTGGACATAAATGAGAATATAGTAAGTTCATACAAGTTCCCAATCGGAAATCGGAAATCGTGACGATACTGGTTACGGCATAGCATAACCAAGCATTTTTTTCAGGTTAGGCAACTTGCGAACGAGATCATACGCCATCTAAACACCCTTCTGGCGCCATCCGCTCAGTGTGCCAAGTTGACCTTGGCAAAAATCCTACATGCTACCGTAATCGAAGACGATGGCGACGCGATCCGTGCTGAGACACAGTACCGGGTTACTATTGAGGCAAAACCGTCAGGTGCCCTACTGGAGGCTCTACTTAAACACGATCGGGCTCACGATACCATCAGTATTTACCGTAACGTGAATCGGGTCAACGCATACGGTAATCAGTCTACGTGTGTATATGAACAAGAGTTGAGAAAGTTTTGTTACTGTATTTCTGGTCAGGACCAATAGAGCTAGGAGGGCACTCCGTTGTTGGAAAAACTGCCATGCTCTCTAATTAGGAGTCGAGTCACAAAGCGCATACTTTCCACACGCGCTGAGCCCCATCCATAGTTTCGCCCGAAAAACCTGCTGGTTTTTAAAAAGTCGTCAGTTAAAATTAAAAAAAAAACAGAAAAGGAAGGGCTCACCTTCAACTGATGAGCCGTGAAGTTCAATTACCACGTGTAGTTGCCCGTGCGGTTCAAGGTCCACCTATAATGTCATT